CATGAGGTCAACCTTTGCGAGGAAACTGCCTGGGGTGATCAACTTTTAGTGTCCCTCAAGTCGGCAAGACATCATCTGCAACACAGAAATCAACTTAGCCAGAGCTCCTGCATTCTTCGACTGAACTGTACACAATCTGTCTCTATGTGGGCTATAAACCCTCACGTCATACCGCACTTTCGTTAGGCAACACACTGCCGAACTGAAGGTTTGAAATATCTTAGGGCTCTTTGCTGCAGCCAAAGGTAGCTTTTTATGCTACAAGTATAGGTAGTACAGCACAACTCTGATCATGGTTACTTGGGTGCAGTCGTATTGATCTGAACCACCCTTGAGGTCAACCTTTGCGAGGAAACTACCTGGGTGATCCACCTTTTACCGTCCTTTAAGTCCAAGTATGAGCACTCACACTTTACCATGTAATAATTCATATCTTTTCCCGCGGAAACTCTCATCGTGGATAAGTCTTATCTTGCTGTCAGTCTTCGGGATAGCACCAAACACACTAGCAACTCTAGGTTTAGATGTGGCAATCCCATAATTCCCTAACATTAATTCTTCCCTTTATCTGCAGTTCTGTTTGCTTCCGGTTTAAACATGGCGACCTGTGATTCCTTGTTTCTCTGTGCTCCTGTCATGGGCCAGTATATCTCCCCATACGTATTTCGATGCAAGGTGACTTACATCTAGGATGTCATTCAGACAGTCCAGTATTCCAGATATATCCACTTCTTTGTCAGTAATCATCTTTAAAGACGCCTATACTGACATATGTCCACATCTCAAATGTGAAGCTATCACCGTCCCCTTTTGAACTACCAAGGTCAAGTTTATACCTTCCCCGGAATCGAGAAACTTCGCCTCCAGGTCTTGTTCTCCAACGATTCTATCCACTCATAATCTCTCTGCTTTCTAACGTTTGCCTTACCTTGGATAGCCCAAGTCAACACACACGGAGATGGTGAGCCAATTTGGGCGGCGTTTTTCCCGGGAGCATCCATGATTTCAGGCATCTTTGTCCCTGCCGCCTTCTCTTCGCTTTTGTTTCAGCTCCCCTGACACTAAGAGTCCTTCTCATATTCCGCGGCCATATTACTTGTAAAACGGATATTGTTTGTTTGTTTGTCGTTTAACGCCGCACTCAGCAATATTCCAGCTATATGACGGCGGTCTGTAAATAATCGAGTTTGGACCAGACAATCCAGTGATTGACCTCATGAGCATCGATCCATGCATATGGGATCGATGACATGCATCAAACAAGTCAGTGAACCTGACCACCCTATCCCGTTAGTCGTCTCTTAGGACAAGCATAGTTGCCTTTTACGGCAAGCATGGGATGCTGAAGACCTATTCTACAAAAACAACAACTGATATTGCGTGAGTGAGTATGGTTTTAAGCTGCTCATAATGTAATATTCCATCAATATCACCAGAAATGGTCGTCACACATTATACCCACCCATGTTGGGAATCACTAGACTACCCCACCGCCCTAAAACGGAAAGACCCCCTACGGGTCATGAGCAACAACTTTGAAAAGTCAAACCAAGCTCAATATGCAATATTATGGTCTAAGGGGGACAACTCCTCCCTGTGTTCAATACATTCTCTCGAAAATTTGACCTTGTATCAGTTCACGTTTGATTGAAATAACAAAAGAGATTGCACACATTATTTCAGATAAATGCCTAATGGTCAAACTGTAAAAAGAATCTCTTGCATCCTGGAGTGTTGGCTTGATGGTACAGATCTGAAGAGAGTCGTACAAAGTTGCTTCTAATGAGATACAAGTATATGCCTGCGCATACCAGATCACGTGATCTACCAGGAGAGAGGCGACTTCAGAGAAGAGAGCTCCACGTTGTAATAGAGGTATGTCACATATTTAGATGCCATTGTACATACACACGTATAGATTTTACATTATGTGACAGTTCATGGTTGTGTTGCCTATGTTTTACTCTATACACGCAAGGGCAGAGGTTTGACTTTGACACAGAAAGTAGACTTGACATTGACGTATCCAGCAGATGTCCACCATGATTACATCAATATATAGTCTGGAAGGTAATTTAAGGTACGGACGTTTACTACAATGTCTGAAAAACTATCGGACCTACTGCAGTCAAAGTTGGTAAGAGATTATTAAACAGTCATACATAACTGGATATTACATTTAAAGACAATTGGTGCATGAATAAAAAATCTGTCTGTTTAGCTATAACTATATTTCATCAACAACCAGACCTGTTCGTCACGGGTGGAACGAGCATTCATTGTAACAGCCATCTGCATAATGCTACCCCTGCGTCACAGGGCCATATGACACAGTTGAACCAATCAACTCAACCCGAAAGGGTGCACGGCAATCACGCACGTTGAGAAGCCCAACGCTAACACCGTATTCGCCCGTGCACCCTTTCGAGTTGAGTTGATTGGTTCAACTGTTGAACACGGAGCTAGGCAGACAGATTATCGTCTGTCTTTATGACACAAGCAGTTACAAGTTATAACGAAAGTGGAAATGAGCTTAAACGTCCATCCTTATAGTTCTGTAGGATGTCAGTTAGCAGCTGAATCGTCATCGCTGATGAAAGGCTACACACGCGAGAGTATTACCATTATAAAAATCAATTAACATGGAGCTAGGCAGACAGATTTTCGACTGCTTTTATCTGAGGTCGTGGTACCAGTAGTTACCGGTTATAAAGAAAGTAGAAATTAGCTGAAACGTCTGCTGGTGTCCACCCACCTACCCCGCACATTAGCATACTCGGGTCATTTGATTTGCTGACTAAGTGAAGATTGCGTTTTATGTACATTAACATGCGTGCTGGAAACACCACATGAACGATAGGTAAGTTCTTCGGGTCGGGGGAGGTGTTGTGGCGATAACAAGGTTGGATCAGAGTTATGTCCCTTTAAGCATCATCGACTTGCATGTATGTTTAATATCAGTCATATGACAGTATACGCCTGTATGATTTTGTCTGTTGTGTGTGTGTGATGTGTGGTGTGTATGTATTTGAGTGTGGGTGCGTGGGTGCGTGCGTGCGTGCGTGCGTGCGTGCGTGCGTGTGCGTGTGTGTGGACAATCCGTATCCGGTCATGAAGACAATGAAGACTTTAAGTTTTTACTCACCCATGAAGTAAACGTTTGTTGCCTGACGTTGCACAGCAGAAGCGAACACCTGGTGTCGACACTGATTTCCAGTTATCTATTCACATAATTTTCACCACTGTTTTGCCTTAGATGGTATGCGCTTTGGCAGATACTGATTATTCTTTGGCGTTGTCGATTTTTATTAAATCTTAATGTAGTACTTCACAGAGGAGAGTGCGTATCCCCAAACACGCCCATATTTGACGACGGTTTAAACCACGTGTCTACTCGCCGTCTTGACCTGGTAAGGTCACGTGAGAAAGTTGTGGGGTGACAGGCAACCAGGAAGTAAAGTATTGAAGTACGTGCAGTACTCGGGGGAGGTGTTGTGGGTGTTTCAAACCTGATTTACCTTTCACTATAAGAAGCTGAAACATCAACCTGTGTTTATGGAAATGGGTCCATGGCTTAAACGACTGTTGTTCTTGTTTCGGTTTGAAATTAGTCTACTGTAAGATTGTTGAATTAAGATCGTTGTATGGAACTAATTTTAATATCCATGTGCATTAATTCTGTGTCATGTGTTAGAAAAACATGGCATATATTCCACCCAGTCTCTCCACTTCATGGAATGTACATATTCATTACTTAGGGGAAAACGTGAAATGGTATCATGATACTGTGTGGTATTTAATTTTCAGGGCAACTTACGTAAAGCATAATCAACAAGAGTGATGTTCCACAGATATACATGTAATGGGGCGCCGTGTTGTCACGTTGGGGATGATGCATTCATGTACATGTTGTATGATTCTGTCTATAACATGTGCCTATATACTTCACTAAACTATCGGTATGGCTTCAGATGGCGACCGCTAAAAAGCTGACAGAAAACCACCTCTCCTGTGTTATCTGTTCTGAGGTGTTCACAGACCCAGCCACACTTCAGTGTCATCATACATTCTGCAAGTCTTGTCTGCTAAAATAGGAGGAGTGGGTCAGTCAGCTGAAACCAAGTCACGTCATGCAGGGGCTGATGGACGACTTTGGCCACGGGACAAAGGGTAATCAGCTTATAATACTACTGCCTGACTAATATACCTTTTGCAAAGGTTTGTAAACAACCACAAACGTGTGCATAGATGAGCATCCACTCATAGAATTGCTTATTATGACTTCATGTTAAACGATTTTGATGCAGGTAAAATATTTCTTTCTTGCAAAGGCAAATAAATTACTTTCCGTTTGCAACAAAGAGCTTCAGATGAACCTAATTACCTTTTGCCATAATTTTATGAAATCAACATGAATTTCATGTCCTACCCCTGCTACGTCGTCATTCCTTTTTGTTATATTATTGTCAGTTATTAATACAATTTGTATGACAAGCTAGCATATAAATGTCACAATTTGTGTCTGCTTATCCTGAATAGGGACTACAATACATGTCACAGCTAGGAAAGGGTTGTGTTGACAGAACTGTGGGGTTTATCTTAGTTACAGGTAATCCTACTGGCTGTGCCATGGCCCTACACTGTCACAAAGCATGTTAAATGAAAACGTTTATGTTAACTCCTCTGTCAGTGAAGTCTCCCATCTATAAAGACGCTGTAACGCCCGCAGTTTCTTATATGCATTTGTTATTGTATATCTAGTCAGCAAATAATGATCTTGTGGTTATGATTACCTGTAGGTCATGATTGACTAGGGAGTGCTACATTGTGAGACAGCATCGTTGTTTCATTACCACCTGTATCATATGATATGTTCACCTGCAGAAAGGGCGTGGCCGTTTGTGACAAAACTAATCTGTTACGTGTTATTATTTCTTTAGATGGTGTGCGATTCTTATCATGTTTTTTGACAATAAAATTCAGCACACTTGTTTTTGTAGGTGTGGAGGAACACTTGTGCAGTGTTTGTACAAAACAAGGAAAGACAACTCCTGCCACTTCTTGGTGCTCTGTCTGTGATGTTGTGCACTGTGAAGGATGTCTCCAGATGCACAACATGATGCCATTGTTGTGTGACCATGAAGTGGTTCACTTGTCTGATCACACCAAAATAAAGGTCAAACGTTGCTTCATGTGTAAAGTCCACAGAGATGAAAAGCTGAAGTTGTTCTGTAAGGACTGCAATCAGGCAATATGCACGATATGTTGCAGCATAAAACACAGGGCATGTAAGGATGTTGATACAATAGAGAGTATGACCCCTCTTGTGAAGGAACAACTGACAAGCAAACTAGAGAAACTCGGAATCAACATTGCAGCTACAAATAGTAACATATCCCAGAGAAAATCTACAATTCAAGATGTGAAGAGTAATTCACAGACCCTCAAAGACCAAGTCACAAAGACACGGGAAACAGTGATGTGTGCTATTTTAAGAAAAGAGAAGCAACTCCTTGGTGACATCGACAAAGCTACTGATCAACAATTACATGAGTTACAAGCAGATATAAAATCCCAGGAGATCGAGCTACAGATGTACCAGCAGCAGTATGAGTTCACAGCCAATGCTGTGACGTCCAACTGTGAGGTGGACATGTATGCCGTCTATGAGTCGGTGGATGAGACTTCTACAGACAACAGAGACACGGGCAACAGGCCAGCACCAAGATGGGTTGTATTGACACACGACCTGGACAAGCTGAGTAAAGCAGTTGATGAGCTACAGCTGGGGGAGGTTGAACTCGTCAATGATGTGAGTGACCTTGAGTCTTCTCCTGTTCTACATCACACCATTGACTGCAAGGAAGGCGGGGACAAGAAGGATCCTTGGTTGTGTGACGTCACAGTGTTGACTGTTGATGGCATCAAAGTGGTGGTAGTTGCAGATTACAATAACAAGAGACTCCTAACATACTACACATCAAACTTCAAATCCTTTCATAATCAGCTTCTGCTTTCTAATGGTCCGTGGCAAATAGCCAAGTTAAGTGAGAGTCAGATAGCTGTCAGTGTTCCATGGAAAAGGAACATAGTTACAGTGAATGTTACCCCAGATCCTGTATTGCTGTCGACTATCAAAACAAGAAAGAAGTACTCCGCCCTGGCCTTTCTGAGTCCTTCACACCTCGTGGCAAGTACAGAGAGACAGTCTCACTCTGTGGACATACTGGACATGACAGGGAAGAGACTGAGGTCTATCAACACGGGTGTGATAAGGAATCCAGGCCACATCCACGTCACCAGAAACAAAAACCTTATAGTTAGTGAAGAGGAAGTAAAATCCCTAGTATGTGTGACCAGTGAAGGAGACGCTGTTTTCACCTACAAGCCCCGAGGAGACTGGGCTCTGGCATGTCCTCAAGGCATCGCATCAACCAGCACAGGAGATATCCTGCTTGCAGACCAAGACTCCCAAAAGGTGATCCAGCTGACAGAGTCGGGGCAGTTTGTTAGAGATGTCCTCACACAACAGGATGATCTGATACGCCCTCTTGGTGTCTTTCTTGATGGTGACGGCCTGCTGTATGTTACGTCTGACAAATACGTAAAAGTATTCAAATTCTGCCCACGCTGAATGTGGAAATACGGATAACTTTGATCTCCATACACAGTTGAATATTTCAAAAGTTGACTGCTGCCTTAGTTCAGATCGGATCGGATCCAGATCTTTCCGTACACACGTAGTTCACCTTGTCATTGATAAAATATAGGGCGATCTAACACCAGTAGTGGTAGTCTGACCTGATAGAAGTACTTCTCAAGTAGACCTAGCACCAGTAGTAGTCTGACCTGATAGAAGTACTTCTCAAGTACATTTGTGAAAGGACGCACAATAACAGCACTGAATGAGGACAACACCACACGAGAGATCACGTGACCTAGACAGATGATATTGGACAGTATTGTTGTTTTATGTTGTTTATAGAACAGTAATGTTGTGTTGTGTAGTGTACTATATATCTGACGTGTGTTGGAGTAACCTGTTCACATCATTGCGCATGCTATCGGTCTTTAGATTATCAGTTCGACAACCCATCTCCTAATGTTTTAAAGGGGCGCTTAACTCTTATAAAACACCACTAGCGTTCGGTGATCTACAGCGGATATAATAATGTGTGGATGCTGTGAGAACTGGTTGAGTTCTGTAAATGTACTAATTTGTATCAGTTATTTCCACAATCTGTGGTATTGAGTAGAGTATAATAGTAACAAGATTGAACTCAATACGGACAATACGCTCTCTATCAGTCATATCCCAGACACATAGGAGATAAGGAAATCTTTGCCGTAGCGATGTTCAAGGAAAACAATGCTGTACACCCATGCAGGTGAATTTATATTCACGGTTTACAAAGGACAGGGTGTGGTTTGACAGGTGGTCAAAGGGACACAACTCTGTGCAGAAATATGTCTTGTTTCCATGCAGTTCCAAGTCAAGTCACTCGTTCTTGTGGAAATGGATCTTTAAACCACATTGGCAAGAAAATGCCAACTTGCAACAAGAATATAGAAATGTCGTGTTATAATGAAATCTATTCTATGAAACAGAAAATTGATGAATCAGATCTTCAATAAAACTCAAACTTAAATAATCTTTGTTGTAACACCCAGCCACCCAGCCCAATCACTGGATGTGTGTGTCTGTGTTTGGTGTGGTGTGTGTGTGTGTGTGTGGGGGGGGGGGGGGGGGGGGGGGGGGGGGGGGGTGTGGGGGTGTGTGTGTGTGTGTGTGTGTGTGTGTGTGTGTGTGTGTGTGTGTGTGTGTGTCCACCATGTAGTTTCTCAGCATTCACCTTATGAATGTACATTGGCCTTAAGTAGTGGTGCCATTATGACAAATAACTGCATAGTATCTTGTATGTAGATGGTGTATCAAGGGTCAAACAATCTTCTGTACCAAGTTTAGAAATGCAGAATATCTAACCAAAGTTAGATTTAAACACCAGCCCACACATGGCTAATACATATGAATATCTAACCAATGACCAGAAAGCCGTTTCCCTTTGGTTTCAACTAAGTCCCTATGTATATATTTCTGTATACGACCCCCAGTGTATTATTCAAGTCTCAATGTGTCATGTGACCGGATGTGGACAGAGTGACTCGTGCAACATACATCTGTCATTCACAGACAAACATTCTGTACATCATTGTTTACACCCACGTAGACTCACTTGTCAAACATTGCTTCAGAAACACTAAATTATCCCAGCTGGTAATCGTCGAGCTGCTAAGTGTACAAAACGGCCGAAATGTGGACTTTGAGTTAAAAGCATGAAACTTGGTACAAGAAAAGCTTTTACCATGGTGATTAAGAAGAACAAAGCAGTGCAACATCTTCAGCCTCTGAATCCTGCAGGATTCACAGCCCAGTCTGTAGGTTCAAGTACTAAGAGGCTATATATGCAGTGAGCATATTTGACATCACAGTCATGTAAGATGTAAGGAACATTTCAGGAGACAATGTTTGCCCGTTTATCGTACTTGGTCCGAATTCGCATATTAATAATAGTTATAGTTTCACTATGTGAAATAATTGGTGTACAAATAAACGTTTAAGTCTAACTTGGGTGTTGATAAATTGTTGCAAAAATAAGGTGTTTGCTTTAGCTGAAATGCATATGTGCAGAAGACGGGCATGCTCATGTGAAAAAATGATGACATTATCAACTGTACCACTCAAAGGTCGTTAAGGATAACGTTTTCATGATATGAAAAATCATGCAACAAATAAAGATTGAAATATACTGGTACACAATGATTTGGTAACCCCTATAGGACCTCACGATGTACGGATAAAGGCTTGCAGTCGTGTGCATGACGTACTACTTTTGTTGAGGTGCTTGAAACTGGGTCAACACAACGTCACGTTGCAAACGTCTTTTATGTCCACCAATGTGTGATCAGTAGGACATGAAATCGATACCAGACGATTGGTTCAGTTACACGGCGACCTGAAGGTTGTAAACAGCCTTCCACCTCACAGCGGGAAGACAGGTTCTTCTGAATGCAGCAAGACGTCATCAGTTCGTGACTGCCACTACAATCAGAAATGACTTGCGGAACACCAATGGCATTAACGTTTCTTCTCAGGCAGTGCGTAGTCGTCTCCGTGGGGTATTCCATTGACACGGCAGGCAAGCAGGTTTTGATTTGGCTGAAGAACACCTCAATCGGACAGACCAGGATTGGTCTCATGCCCGAGTGTGGCGAAGACAAGGAGAAAGATTTCAGGATTCCAACAAAGCCGAACATGACCGCTATGGAGGGTGCTCAATCATGATTTGGGATAGGATCAGTACAGCTGAAAGAACTGTATCCTACAGTGCGTCACAGAGATGGAATTCTGGGTGTGTACGAGAGACCGTTTGCTGGTACATTCGGACCAGACTTCATCACCAAGGACGATAACTCACGACCTCATTGTGCCAGGGTGGTTGATGCTTAGAGCAAGAGAGTATTGTCAGCCAGGTCACCAGACCTCAACCCTATCGAAAACATGTGGAACGAGCTGCAGATCGCCTTCTCACGACGGCCTGTACTTCCGGCAACTCTTTAAGAACTCAGCAATGCTTTTAGTGGAGAGTGGAACAATCTTACCTTGACAACCACACTTACTGGAGTGGCGGTGATTGAGTCACGGTTTTTTTTACAAAGAGTTTGTTTTGGTATTTTTAGGTCAGATGCTCTCATTGTGATCTGACTGGTTATTGTCGCATGTTGTTTGATTGGAGTGTGTGGCACATGACGACGGTCTTTTGGTCACTAAACATGTCGTCACGCAATATTGCCTTTGGTTATTTCAACACATGTGCACAAGTTGACGAAGTACCTTTTAAAGTGGTTATCCTCAGCAAACTTTGAGTGGTACACTCCAAGACAGTGAACATTATTATTTTGAATGTCCAGCCACAATCATATCAGACTGAGTATAAGAACTACAGTACATATTCTCTAATTACACTTTTGGGCCCGAACATATCTTATGGTCTTTATTACATTTCGTGTCTGCATCGGAACAAGTTTATATATACACTGACAGAAATAGTTAATGAAGTGTACTTACTTACTGAGTGACTTTCACTGTCCACTCAGACTATTTTACTAACCAGTTAAGACTGACTGACTGAGTATGGTTTTACGCCGCTTTTAGCAATATTCCAGCAATATCATGGCGGGGGACACCAGAAATGGGCTTCACACATTGTACCCATGTCGGGAATCGAACCCGGGTCTTTGGCGTGACGAGCGAACGCTTTGACCACTAGGCTACCCCACCGCCGCTAACCAGTTAAGAAAGTATTTGCTAATTGTGTAATATTTGTAAATATGGCCTATCGTAGACCAGTACACTTTACTAATCAGTTGTAAGAGATTACTATCCATCTTTCAAAGAACCTTCTCATAATATTTACTAACTGCAATAGTAAGTATTAAGTAAGTATAGCTTATAGTAAGTATTACTATATCATAAAAAGGCTCGTTTCGTGGTCATTTTGCAATCCCTGTTGGCAGCTGCCGAATACAATTTGCATAAAAACAAGTAAACAACATTAACAATACTGGTGAAAGATAACATTTAATGATTTTCAGTGACATTTTAAGATTATTTACACAATACTACGAAAAAATACTTGACAGGGTGATTAAACTCCACAAATATTGTTTTACACTGGCAAACGTAACAGCCCCTCTCTTCATGGAGGACATGTTAAATTTGTCAGTCATGAAAAAAATAAATAAAAACTTTCAAGGCAAATATATACCAAACACTCAGAATCATAATTATTTGCCTTGTTTATTTTGGGTTTGAGAGAGTTACATGGGGGATGAGTAATATTTGGAAAGATGTAACCAACTTTTAACAGAAGCTTTTTCTTTGTCTGACATATGTAGGATGATATATGCGTACAAACGAAATACATAAATAATTACGAACCTATTTTTTCTGACTGTAAATTATTACACTAGACATGTTTGTGATATTCGGCACAATCATTAGAGGAAGACACGCCCTGTCCTAGACTGGTTTATCTGCCCTAGAGCTCCTGCGCTCCTCGCCTGCAGACACTAGGGAGCGAAGGGCAGGGTCCCAGTCTAGCTCTATTCGACCTATTTCCCATAACTGGAATAGTACTGAGTGCGCCGTTAAACAACAAACCAACCGACCTATTTCCCCATACAGCATTTTGCTGCGGTGGAACATTGACTCATTTCCGTGAAGCGGGTGTCTTTCGAGAGGGACGGGGACGTGTCAGGCTACAGGAGTAAACATATCACCATTTGGGAGGTAACTCTCATAGAGAAGTATGGTCCATGGTTAAAAATAGCAAACGCACTCACAAAGTTGTTGGTTTCAATGTTAAAGAGCTAAAATAGCAATGAAAATTATATGAATGCATCCCTGAAAATCAGTACTGGCACCAGGTGTTCTCGAAAAGGGTAAGTGTGTCCTTCTCTACCGGTAGCAACCGCTACCCAGAGAGTAGAGGGCTACAATACGTTGTGTATTGACTTTTAAACAATTTTAACGGTTTTCCTTTTTTGTCTGATCTGCATTCTTATGGAATACGTATTTACTTTTCAGAAATGAAATAGTGACTACCTTCGGCTACTTTGTGAAACAAACAAAATGCTCGTGTCCCCCTTTCACAGAAAAGTGAAGTGAAAACATTGTATGCTCGTCATAGTGAACAGTTACTGCTTGATCGCTGAGCCGAGTTGATTTATACAAATTTAGATGCAAGGATTGTAATTTTAGCCAGACCTGAGGATACATGGTACGTTTTGTCACAAATACTAAAAAATAATGCATTACATATATTTTGGATTTGCCGTTACTGAATATATACACCCCACAAAAGTATCGCACAGCAAATTTGAAGGGACATTGCGAGTTTATTTTCAGTGTAGAGGTTTTCAAACGGTAAAGGGTGTGTTGACTCATCATCTGCCTGTAGAATGGTCGCCACCTTAACTGCACAACCTTGTGGATCCATTCATGCGCGCCGTATACACACCTAAGGGGTCTTTATAGAGAAATTCATGTTTGATGACAGAACGTTCATGCGTCTTTACTGCTATTAGTTTTAAATAGAAATTTCAACCAATCTGAAAGTCTGTCTTTGGAACGATTGTGACTGTGTGTGCTATCCCAGAAAATCAAAGATGGCAAATCATGAGCATGCACTAAACTGGCATGTCACGTTGAGATATCGCCACCGTGTTGGACATTAATCAAACTGTCGACAAATTACAAAACACACATTGACTGGATTCCGTGATTCCAACGTCCACGGAAGGCCAGTGCCAGAGAGAACAGGGTCCTTGTACCTAGGGCAAAAGAGAACAGGGTCAAAATGACGGCGGTTTGTAAATAATCGAGTCTGGACCAGACAATCCAATGATTGACATCATGAGTATCGATCCACGCAATTGGGATACGATGACATGCATCAACCAGGTCAGCGAGCCTGACCACCCGATCCCGTTAGTCACCTCTTACAACAAGCATAATCGCCTTTTACAGCAATCATGGGTTGTTGAAGACCTATTCTACCCCGGATCTTCACGGACCGCTAAACCTAAAAAGTGTGT